TACAGAGAGGATGTGTTTCTGTCCCAGAGTGTGCAATGTTGATCACATCTAGAGAGGTTTTGGAAAAGGGAGCATTCTCATCAGCCGGTTAGGCTGACCGGGGACACAGTCTCTCAGAAATAAAGATGTTCTTTTTCTCACTGACAGGCAGCCTTGTTTGCACTCCAAACACTTTTTGAAGAGGAGTATCCCCCCCGGCCTATCTTCGTAAGTTCTAAAATTTGCATGATGATTTTTGTCTTTTATTACTAATAGTGTCAGCTCGAGGGTAGGGTGTTTGTTTTCCTGGCATAGGAGAACTAGCTGCAGTATCTTTAAGGAACCACCCACTTCAACTTCCTCTGTTCACCTTCCTCCTCCCGGCAGCTGGAGACCAGTAGCTGTCTCAGCTCTGGAAATGCGAAGAAGGTGAACCCAGAAGTGGTTGGTGGAAGGCAGGCTGTTCAAAAGAAGCCTGGCTGAATTGGTCCCCTGAAGTCAAAGGCTTCGGGACTCCCTCTGATAGGGGCCCCGGGAGAGGTGGGCTTGCATGCCGACTGAAGTTCCCAGACCCGATGACACCAGCCTGCACGAGTAGACCCCCGGGAGAGTCCCAAGACTGCTTGGTGGGAAAAGACTAGAATCAAATCAGGGGGTGTTAGACGAACCAGGGGAGGTAGCCAGGACAGCCTGAGGTCTCTGGGAAAGCCTTCTGCGGTGGGACTGGATGTGTGAGTTCTAAAGCTTTGGTGGCCGCTGCTTTTGCCTCAGTGACTTTCCCTGTTACCTGTGTTTATGGCTTCCTGACTCATCCCCACAATCCCTTTGCCTGTGTCCTTTCTGACCATGATGAAAAGTGCTTCCTGTGGGAGAGCTCCACACTCCCCTTCCTCGTAGAACAACAGTTTTCTGTTTTTATTTCATGTTTGTGACCATGTTCTTAATTTGAGCCTCTATTGTTGACTGAGTTTACTTTGTTAATTCAGATTTCAGGGACAATTATTGATAAAAGTGGGAGAACTCTTTCTGGACAGACAGGAGAGGCATTTGTCATCAGTGTGTCTCACGCAGACCCCCTCTGGTAAGTGATCATTCTTTCCTTGACCCCATTCCTTTTAGAGGGATCTTTTCTCGTGGCTACAAAAATTGCTCCTGCGTATTTCCACTGAACCACCCGCATGGGATGTTGGATTTCTGGGAAGTACATTCAGACTTTTCTTAAGGGTGTCAGAAGACCCCTGCCTGAATGAGTCAATTTGAGGCTCTGGGCAAGTGCTCCTGCCCCTTGGATCAGCACACGGTTGGCTGTCTGTCTGTAAGTGCGTCCTTCACAATTTAAGGCTGTGCTTGGCTCAGTCGTAATGCTGCAAAAACAGTGCTTACGTTCCTAGGGCAGGGCTTTGCAAAGTGTTTTATCTCCATGCTTATGGAGCAAACAGAAGCAGTCCAGCTTGGAATAAGGTGGGAATTCTAAAGCTCAGATTTTTATCTTTAAAGTTAACCTGGCTTTGGGGCGGCTAGGTGGCACAGTCAGTTAAGTGTCCGACTCTTGGTTTCTGCTCAGGTCCCGATCTCAGGGTCCTGGAATCGAGCCCCGCGTCAGGCTCCGCACTCAGCAGGGAGTCTGCTTGAGATTCTCTTTCCCTCCTGTTCGTGCTCTCTCTCTAAAATAAATAAATCTTAAAAATGGCTTTTACATTCTATTTTTCTTGTCAGAAATGTTTTAAATTACATACCGTGAATGAAACAGAACCTCCAAGAGTATATGCTGTTGTCACCTGTGCCTTTTCCACACATGTACTGATCTTCCTGCCGGAAAGCTGTGCCTGCCGCCCCCACCCCCCCAACACACACACACAGACACACACACACAGAGTCATGCTCTGCCGGATCCTGGCTCCTTCCTTCCTGGAAGCTGTGCCTGTCCCCGCCCAACACACTCACACACACACACAGTCATGCTCTGCTGGCTCCGTCCTGGAAGCTGTGCCTGTCCCTTCCCAACACACTCACACACACACACACACACACATTCACACACTCACACACTCACACGTAGTCATGCTCTGCCGGCTCCTTCCGTCCTGGAAGCTGTGCCTGTCCCCGTCCAACACACACACACACACACACACACACACACACACACACACACACACACAGAGTCATGCTCTGCTGGCTCCTTCCATCCTGGAAGCTGTGCCTGTCCCCGCCAACACACTCACACACGCTCACTCTCACTCACTTACTCACTCATACTCTGCCGGATCCTGGCTCCTTCCTGGAAGCTGTGCCTGTCCCCGCCCAACACACTCACTCTTACACACACACACACACACACTTGTTAGCTTTTAAGAATCCTCTCCAGGGTCCTTTCCAGGGAACTTTCCCTCTCTGACTAGCCCAGGTTGATGTCCTCAGAGCACTCTGTTTACTTTATTATAGTCTTTGCCCTAAAAATAATAGTAATAGGCATTTATTGAGAGTTTGCTGATTTAAGTGCTTTATGTGACTGACTTCTTCTAATTCCAGCAACAACACCTTGAGCTAGGCCCTGCTGTTCATGTCCTCATTTTGATGAGAAGGGGACAGAGACGCTCGGAGGTTGTGACTTGCCCAGCGTGCAGTCAGTAGTGGGTCTAGTATAGGGGCATGCTCACAGCCATGGGCTCGACCACTCTTTATCAGTTATTTGATGACTTTTTTTCATGTTCTAGTGTTTCTAATTTCATGACATGCCTTATAGTTGAGTTAGTGTGGTTGTGTGATTTCTTAAAAGCTGCTGTTAATTTGGAGTGGTTTGTTATCCAGGTGACTGGGCCTCATAATTAAGAAAGTAACTGTATTGAACTGGACTGTGATTGACCTCTTAACAGCTTATGAGCTTTTCCAAAGCAATCTCTTCATCATCTTTATGTCTCTAGTGCTTAACAGAGTCCTTGGCGTGTAGGATGGCTGCAGTAAATGTTTAACAGGAAAACTGGGGATAGGAAAATGTAGGGGTCTCTGAGGATAAACCTTATCTAGTTTACTTTCGATTTTTTTTGTCTTCCCTCATATATTTTGAGCATTCCTCCTTTTATTCTCTTGCTCTCTCCCCCGCCCCCTTTACTGAGTCTTAATTTGTGATCTAGTTGGAACCCCTAGATGTGTAGATGAAACCCCCTGCATTGCCCCAAGTGTCATGTTGCTCTTTAGTCTGCTTGACTGTACCCAGAGGACATCTTTAGAGGCTGTTCTCCCACTCCCTGCCTCACTGGCGGGAATCCAAGGATGATATTTTTATGCAGCTTCAAAAATTTATATTTCTGTTCCTTAAGCAAACATGCAATGAATTCTAACTTTTGACCCACTCAGTGGTTTCACTTTTTTTTTTTATTGTTATCCTGTAATTCTTTCTATGTCTTCAGCATTCATCTGTAGCCCATTCACAGAGAGAATTTATTTGGTCTCTGATTTGTTAGGAATCTTACAGACCGAAGGACAGATAGTTGGATGGAAGGCAGCCCAGGAATTGGAGAATTGTATCAGGTCTTATTTATATTGTTCCAGGTTCAGAACTCTGAGTAGTGCCTACTGGTTTTCTTTCTAGTTCAATACTAAGTCTTAGTATAGAGGAGTCCTGTTAACAAATATGAAATATCAACTGCTGTACAGAAGTATGAACACAAATCTGGCCGGACAGAGGATGGATTAATGTTGTCCTTGTGAGATTCAGGGATGGCTTTGTCGAGAAGGTGACACTTGAGCTGGTTTTTGAAGCATGAGTCAGAGTTCACTAGGCAGAGGCAGATGGATGTGTTAGAATGAGCAAACAGCAGGAGAAGGACTGCATTTTTCTGAAACATTTTCGTATTACTGATGTTACTTTCACTTGACCCTCACTGCTGATTGGGCATTGTTTTCTCATGCCGCAAATGAGGACCTGAAACCACCTTACTATTGAACCAGATGAGTTAGGATCGGAACGAAGTTTAGAAAAAGTCTAGGATCCTTTCTAATGATAATGTGATGATTTAAAAAAAATTTAGTTTATTATCTGGTGTTGAGTGTGGATGACAGTAGCACAAGATTAAAAAAAAAAAAAGAGTAAAAGCATTCTAAATGGAGACTGGTGCAACCGAACAGGTCTCTTCAAGGCTTGTAACTTGGCTGTGCAGTCTTTTTTTTTTTCTTTAAATGGAGGTATAACTGCCTTAAAATATTATACTAGCTTCAAGTGTACAACATAGTGGTTTGACATTTGTGTACATTGCAAAATGATTGCCACAATAAATCTAGTTATCGTCTGTCCCCATACAAAGTTAACACCATATTACTGACTGTATTCCCCATGATGTACATGACATCCCAGTGACTTACTCTTCTGTAACTGGCAGTTTGTGCTTCTTGATTTGCACCCATATTACTTCCAGCCCCAAGGCCCCTCCCCTCTGGCAGTTATCAGTCTGTTCTCTTCTGTGAGTCTGGGCTTCGTTTTGTTTGTTTTGTTTTTTAAATTCTACGTGCAAGTCAAATCATGTGACGTTTGTCTTTCTCTGACTTATTTCACTTAGCATCATACCCTCATTGACTATTGTAAGTAATGCTGCAGTGAACATAGGGATACATGTATTTTTTTTGAATTAGTGTTTTTATTTTCTTTGGATAGATACCCAGTAGTGGAACTGCTGGGTCATATGGTATTTCTGTCTAATTTTTTGAGGAACCTTCCTGCTGTTTCCTGTAGTGGCTGCACCAGTTTGCATTCCCACCAACAGTGCACAAGGGTTCCCTTTTCTCCACATCCTCCCCAGCATTTGTTGTTTCTTGTCGTTTTGATACCAGCCAATCTGATAGGTGTCAGGTGATCTCTCATTGGGGTTCGATTTGGATTTCCCTGATGGTGAGTGATGTTGAGCATCTTTTCATGGGCCTGTTGAGTATCTTCTTTGGAAAAATATCCATTCAGATCTTCTGTCCATTTCTTAATTGGATTTTTTTGTTGTTATTGAGTTGCATGAGTTCTTAATATATTTGGGATATAAGCCCCTTATCAGATAGATGATTTGCATGTCATCCGTGCGCAGGGGGCCTGCTGATCTCTGTATCATTCTGTTTTTAGAACATGTGCTGCCAAAGTGAGCACCAGATGTATGATTTGCAAATATCTTCTCCTATTCCATAGGCTGCCTTTTAGTTTTGTTGATTGTTTTCTTTACTGTGCAGAAGCTTTTTAGTTTGATGTGGTCTCAATTGTTTATTTTCATTTTTGTTTCCCTTGTCTTTGGAATCAGATCCCCCCCAAAAAAACATTACTAAGATGGATATCAGGGAGCTTGCTGCCTATGTTTTCTCTCGGGAGTTTTATGGTTTCCATTCTTATATTCAAGTCTTTAATCCATTTTGAGTTTGTTTCTGTGTCTGGTGTAAGACAGCGATCCAGTTTCACTCTTTTTCATGTGGCTGTCCAGTTTTCCCAGCACCATTTATTGAAGAGACTGTGCTTTCCCCAGTGCATATTCTTGCCTTTCTTGTTGTAAATTAATTGACTGTATATGCATGGACATATTTCTGGGCTCTCTTTTCTTCCACTCATCTGTGTGTCTGTTTTTAGGCCAATACCATACTCTTTTGATGACTACAGCTTTGTAGCATGGTCTGAAATCCAGGCATGTGATATCTCCAGTTCTCTTTTTTTTCTCAGAATTGTTTTGGCTTTGAGGGTCTTTTGTGGTTCCATATACATTTTAGAAGTATTTGTTCTAGTTCTATGAAAAATACATTGGAATTTTGATACGGATTGTGCTGTAGATTGCTTTAGAATCTGTACATTGCTTTGGGTACTATGGACATTTTCACAGTATTCTTTTATTCCACGAGCATAGATATCTTTCCATTTCTTTGTGTCATCTTCAGTTTTTTTCATCAGTGTCTTACGGTTTTCAGTATACTGGTTTTTCACCTCTTGGTTAAATTTATTCCTAGGTATTTTATTCTTTTTGATGCAGTTGTATGGGATTGTTTTCTTAATTTCTCTTTTTGATAGTTTGCTATTAGTGTATAGACATGCAACGAATTTTTTTTGTATATGAATTTTGTGTCCTGCAACTTTACTGAATTCATTTATTAGTTCTAGCAATTTTTTTAGTGGCGTCTTTAGGGTTTTCTGTAGAGTTCGTATCATCTGCAAATAGTGTGTTTTACTTCTTTCTGATTAGAATGCCTTTTATTTCTTTTGGCCCAATTGCTGTGGCTACAACTTCTGATACCGTGTTGAATCAAAGTGGAGAGAGTGGGCATCCTTTTCTGGTTTTAGAAGAAAAGCTTTAGCTTTTCACTATTGAGTATGATGTTAGCTGTAGGTTTGCCATATAGGGTTTTTATAATCTTGAGGTATGTTCCCTCTATACGCTCTTTGTTGAGAGTTTTTATCATAAGTGGATGTTGAATTTTGGCAGATGCTTTTTCGACATCTTTTGAGATGATCGTGTGATTTTTAAGATTTCATTCTGCTCACACAGTATATTACATCGGCCGACTTGCAGATGTTGGAGCATCATTGCACCCCTGGAATAAATCCCACTTGATCATGGTGTGATCCTTTTAATGTATTGTTGAATTTGGTTTGCTAATATTTTGTTGAGGATTTTCACATCTGTGTTCATCAGGGATATTGGCCAGTAATTTTCTTTTTTGGAGCTGTCCTTGTCTGGTTTTGGTATCAGGGTAATACTGACCTCTTAAGGAGGTTTGGAAGCATTTCCTCCTCTTCAGTTTTTTGAAAGAGTTTGAGAAAGATAGGTATGACATTTTCTTTGAACGTTTTGGTAGAATTCACGAGTGGAGCCTTCTGGTCCTGGACTTTTGTTTTTTGGGAGGTTTTTGATTACTGCTTCAGGCTCCTTACTAGTAATTGGTCTATTGAGATTTTCTATTTCTTTGCGATTCAGTCTTGGAAGGTTGTAAGTTTCTGGGAATTTCTCCACTTCTTGAAGTTTCAACTTGTTGGCATATAATTGTTCATAATAGTCTCTTATGATTCTTTTGTATTTCTGTGGTGTCGATTGTAACTTCTGCTTTCATTTCTGATTTTATTTATTTGAGGGTTCTCCTTTTTTCTCAGTGAGTTTAGCTGAAGGTTTGTCAATTTTGTTTATCTTTTCAAAGAACCAGCTCTGAGTGTCATTGATCTTTTCTATCTGTCTTTTTAGTCTGTATTTTATTTTTTTATTATATTTTTTTAAAGATTTATTTGTTTTAGAGAGAGCACACAAGCAGGGGGAGGGGCAGAGGGAGAGAGAGAAAGAGAATCTCAAGCAGGCTCCAACTCTCTGCTGAATGCAGAGCCTGATGTGGGGCTCAGTCTTACCACTCTGAGATCATGTCCTGAGCCGAAATCAAGAGTTGGCTTCTTACCTGACTGAGCCACCCAGGTGCCCTGTCTATTTCATTTATTTTTACTCCGAACTTTATTATTCCCTTCCTTTTGCTAACTTTGGGCTTCGTTTATTCTTATTCTTGTTACTCTGGTGTAAAGTGAAATTGTTCATTTGAGATTTCTCTTGTTTCTTGAGGTTGACCTCTATTGCTCTGAACTTTCCCCTTAGAGAGTCGCTTTTGCTGCCTCCCGTAGATTTTGGTGTATTGTATTTTTATTTTCACTTGTCTCTAGGTATTTTTAAATTTCTCCTTTGATTTCTTCTATGACTCAGTAGTTCAGTAACATGTTTAATCTCCACATATTTGTAGTTTTTCCAGTTTTCTTCCTGTAATTGATTACTAGTTTTCTACCATTGTGGTTGGAAAAGATGCTTGGTATGATTTCTCTTTAATTTTTTGAGACTTGTTTTGTGGCCTAACATGTGTTGCAGGGAATGTTCGGTGTACACTTGAGAAGAACGTGTATTCTGCTGCTTTTGGATGGAAGGTTCTGTATATATCATTTAAGTCCATTGGTCTAATGTGTCTTATTAAGACCAATGTTTCCGTATTGATTTTCTGCCTGGATGATCACAATTGATGGAAGTGGTGTACTAAAGTCCCCTGTTGTTGTGTTGCTGTCAGTTTCTCCCTTTAAGTCTGTTAATAATGTTTATATGTTTTGTTGCTCCTACGTTAGGTGCATATGTATTGTTGAATTTTAAGAATTTTTTATCTTTTGGTTACCACTTATTTTATCAAATGTGTGTTTTGCAAATATTTTCTCCCAGTCTGTGGCTTGTCTTCCCATGCTTTTAACAGCATCGTGTCTTTCACTGGGCAGAAGTTGTTGATTTTAGTGAAGTCCAGCGTATCAGCTTTTTCATTCATTGATCCTACTTTCAGTGTTTATCTAAAAACTCATGGCCAAACTCATGGCCACCTAAGTCTTCTCCCGTGTTACCTCTTTTTTTTTCTTCCACGTTTTTATTTAGATTCCAGTTGGTAGACATGTGGTATAATATTAGTTTCAGGCTGTGTTATCTTTTTATGTATCTTTATATCTTTAATAGTTCTGCAGTTTATGTTTAGGTCTGTGATCCATTTTGAGTTAATTTTTGTGAAAGGTGTAAGGTCTGTGTCTCATCGAATTTTTTCACATGTGAATGTCCATTTGTTCCAGCACTGTTTGCTGAAAGAAGGGAGTGCTTTGTCCGTTGGCTTGCCTTTGCTGCTTTATCAAAGATCAGTTGACTGTGTTTGTGTGTTTCTTTTTCTGGACTCTCTGTTTCATTGCATTGATCTATTTGTCTCTTCTTTCACCAATATCGTTGATTACTTTAGCTTTTAGTGTCAGTCCTTCAACTTTGTTCTTTTCCTTCAATATTGTATTAGCTACTCTGGGTTGTTTGCATGTCCATATACATGTTGGAGTCATTTTGTTGATAGCTACAAAATACCTGGCTAGAATTTTCCCTGGGTTTGTGTGAATGAATATATGTATATATGTATATATATATATAAAATTGAGAAGAGCTGGCATCTTAATAATACTGAGTCTTCCTGTTCATGTCCATGGAATATCTTTTCACCTATTTAGATTTGCTTTGATTTCTTTCTTCTGAGTCTTATCATTTTGTAGTTTTCTTCATGTAGGTCTTGTACATATTTGTTAGAATTATACCCCACTCTTTCATCTGTTTTGGTGCTGATGCAAATGGTATTGTGTTTTTAGTTTCTAATTTCAATAGCTCATGGCTGGGATATAGGTAAACAATTGACTTTTGTATATTAACCTTGTATTTTGCAACCTTGCTATCAGTGCTTATTGGTTCCAAGAATTTTTTAGTTGATTCTTTGGGATTTTCTACATCCTGTCTGTGAATAAAGATGCTTTTATGTCTTCCTTTCCAATCTGTATAGCTTGTATTTTCCTTCTCTTGCATTAGCCAGGACTTCCAGTATAATATCAAGTAGGAGTTGAAAATGGACATTCTCTATTTTGTTGCCCATCTTAGGGGAAAAGCGTCTAGTTTTACATCAGGTTATGATGTCAGCTATAGGTTTTTTTGTAGATGTTCTTTATCAAGTTGAGGAAGTTCCCCTCAATTCCTAGTTTGCTGAGAGTTTTTATCATGAATGGGTGTTGTGTGTATTTGTTAAATAAACTTTTTATTTTGGGGTAATTTCAGATTTACAAGAAAAGTTGCAAAGACAGTAGAGAGAATTTCCATATACTCTTCATCTAGTTTTCCCTAATGTTAGCATCTTACATAACTATGGTCCTTTTGTCAAAACTAAGAATAGTATTACTATTAACTAAATTCCAGACTTTATTCAGATTTCAAGTGTTTTCACAATTGCCCTTTTTTTCTGCCTCAGGATCTAATCTAGTGTATCACATTGCACTTAGGAATCATAGTAAAAGAAAACAATTGAAATAGTCTAGTAGCTTCCTAGTTAATTTCTGAATTCCTGAGGGCCCCAGGGGCCCCACTGAGAGTGGTATTGGAGGGGTTTCAGGCCCTCCACCCTAAAAACTGCAGTTAGAGCAGCTCTGTTCGGATCTGTTTCATTTGAATCAGTAAGTTTCATATGCAAAATGAAACTTGGTTTTTTTTTTTTTAATTTTTTTATTGTTATGTTAATCACCATATATTACATCATTAGTTTTTGATGCAGTGTTGAAACTTGGTTTTATAGATAAATCAGTTTAATTTATAAGAG